CCCTCTCTCTGTCTCTCTCCCTCTCTATCTCTCTCACACATGCACAAACACCCACACATACACACACACACACACACACACACACACACACACACACACACACACAAACACGCATATTCTACCCTCCCCCCTCCTTTTTGTTCTTCCCTTTCTTTCGATTCCTTCACCCAACCCAACCGCCGTCCCCATCACATTCGTCCCCACCACCCCCATCATTGAAATAGATCAACCCGGCTTTCATACTATCAAAAGGCAAGACGATCCCACTAAACCTGCGTGTAGGGGGGTTGACTGCCGTGTCCCATCAGGGACTCTGCGACTGGGCGGCCGTTCAAGCGAGCTGCGGCGCGGTGTGACAAACAAGCCGTGCGTATCAAAGCCCACATCGTAATTCCCCGTACTTGCGCTGGTTGTAGGCTACGTCTGCGCCTAACAAAGTTCAACTGGAACAAGGTGTGTTGTCGAAAAGAAGAAGAGCTTGGTCATTTCGACAACACATTATCTGTTGTGACACATGCATTATCTTCTCGGTGTAGGAACGGTTTCGTGACACGGGACAGTGTGTGCGTATGTTCATTGGTGAGGAGTTCTGTTGAGTGAAATAATGAGTGTAATTAAAAGTGGGAAGAAGTTGTTGCCATCTTGCAGGTATGCGCGTTTGGTAAATATTTGACGACAGCAATTCAGTTTACTGTAATTTAATCTACCCTAACTCGAAGATGTCTGAAGGAGTTTGGGGAAAAAAGGGGGGGGGGGGTGATTTGATTGCACTCGCTACGCAGATAATAATGATGGTAGATTGGGGCTTTGAATGGGCGAAATAGTTTGTTCGAAATTTCACAAAACTAGATTAATTACAATAAAGCTGTTTTGAAAATGACATAATGTAGAACCACATTTTTAATGGTACTCAGATTGCAATAATAAGCGTTCTGCAATGACAAAAAGAAAATTGTAATAATAGTTGCTGTAACAATTACAGCAACAACGGATGCGATGTCAGCTGCAAAACAAAGATAGATTTGCCATTAGGCCTAAAGTAACTCTAGATCTAGATCTAGATCTAGTCACAGTAAATAGATCTACATGAACAATAATATTTAAAAAACCAATTGTCACACTATCGGCTGCAGCAACTTTAGTAGCAAATCATGAACAGTGATTAAGAAGAACTGCCGAACAAATAAATAACATGTACAAAATTAGAACATCAAAATGGTAACAAAAACAAAACAAAACAAAAAAATGGCAAAGACAAAGGCTGCCCGCAAAAACGGTGTATGCATTCATTTAGTGGTTTAAAAGGGGAGAAAGGGAGCGGGGGATAGCAGTTTTTGCAGGCGATTGTATGGTGGCCGTTAGAGCAGGTTTGACTCTACCGTGGGGATTCAGAATGGGCAACTGAGTAATTTTTGCCCATTCGCTGGTTAATTGTAATTGGCATATTGTACGTCTACCGAGTTCCATAATACTGTGGGGAGACATACGTAAATAGTTATCTCAAGGGCCGTTTATTTTATCTAGCAGGGGGGCAAGGCCTGGCAGCTGAGCCACACACAGAGCTGGAAAACAGACTAAACGGGCTCTAAGACGGTGGAGACAAGCTTTGCCGTTTTTCACTTGAAGAAGAAGAAGAAGAAGAAGAAGAAGAAGAAGAAGAAGAAGAAGAAGAAGAAGAAGAAGAAGAAGAAGAAGAAGAGGAAGAATTAGAAGAAAAGACCTTCAGAGTCTCGTGTGAGGCATTATACTTATGACACGTTCTTGAACTCATACATACTCGTTCCCACTGTGTCAGAGAAATATATTAATATCGCTTTAAAACACAAACACGACCTAAACTCACTTCTGTTTACCAAAGATTCTGCGTTACACGCGTATCTTTGCAACTGTTCGTCTCTGCATCGAATGATTGGGGCGATCTCTACGTCTTTATTGTTTCCAGAGGGAGAGATATCAAGTAATTGTGATTAGAGCATCAGAGTTTAAATGCCAGAAGTCATGATTTCAGAAGGTTATTACTCAACAACCCCCCCACCCCACCCCACCCCAGACAAACAAAACAAACAAACAAACAAACCATCTGAATTCAGAACTGAAGGCTTGATGCAAAGCTGTTAATAATTTTTTTTTTTATTTTACTGCTCAAGACCAATCTCTTTTAAAAACCGCATTTCATCACGGTATGCATAGACTCTATGTGTGTCTTTTCCGATAGAAAATAAAGCGGAAAGATAATATCTTTGATAACTTTGACTGAGATCTGGCTTGGTCAAAGCTGCATGCCTTCTATATGATCCAATAAATTTTGTCGATGGCAGTGTAGAACATCTACAACTATGATCACAATTACCCTTTTTTGGGGGGTCGAGTTTGGTCATCTGTCGCTTTCCCTCACTTCTAGGGTGTCCTGCCCAGCAGGCGAGATCGGCTTTGTTCCCGCCACTGACCACAACGCGTTGATCTGTTGTTATTCCCGACGGTGCCAATTGTTCGTCTGCAGTCGGTGGGGACACCAGGGCGGATTATTGCAATAAAACCACTCTTACAGTTTCTTGTTTGAGAATACACACTTCTGTCCATCAAGGACATGGGCATTAACACCATAAACAGGCATACTGTGTCTTGTCGAAGAAACAAATGCATTCGAACTTGTCCAAGACAATCGTCTATTGTTTAAAAGAAAAGTGATCATCATGGACAGGTGGTCCTCTTTCATAGTGTCATTATAATGTGTGTCATAGTGGAAAAATCAGGCGTTTGTCAAATCTGTTCCTTCGGAGAACCCGATTTTTTCCGCTTGTTGGGCAATTTTATTTTTGGCTCTGCACCTTTATTGTCCAATTAAAGCCCATTTTTGTGTGGACTTCACTGTAAATCTTTGATCAAAGACACAAACAATGTAAATTTGCAGTTTCCAAGGGAAATCAAGTTTTTGGAGTCACGAAACTTGGCCGAAAGTTTTCTCGCTACATTTCACCGCAACACAAGGCGACCCTACCTCCTTTAATCGTAAATATCTCTACTTATAATTTAGATAGATCGGTATATTTAAAAAAATCAAAATCAAGGCATACGAACAGATGAAAATAATAAGTCCATAAATCTCTGCCCCAATATTAACAAGCGCCTGATTCCCACTTGTCGTGACTCACACTGCATGGAAACCGTAAAGGAATTGGGC